GAGTATACGGCGGATGTCGATCGCCGCGTTGCTGTGGCCCAGGACTGCTACGACGGCTGGATCCGTGCCATGGAGGAGCGAGAACAAGCCAACCGTCTCAGCGAGGCATTCTGGCGAGCGGAAGGAGGTTCTGTGGAGACACCTCGACAGCAAGTACGCACGCTGAGTGGAATACAGGCTGAACGACGCGCTTAGCGAGCTAAGATGAGGGATTCGGAGAAGGAAGGCTTTGCTAGACGGGTTCGACGAGGGCGTCGATATTTAGTCGGGGAGGATGTCCCGAGTGAGAACGGTGGCAAGCGTCGTGGGCTCAATTTCCGTTCCCCCTCTGGAGTGACCTGCGACCAGCCACTTGAAGTCCCACGGCGAGAGGATGAGCGGCCGTCTGGGCGCCCGAATTAGATCTGACATTGTCAGCTTCCGTAGCCCGGATTGGTATCTGACTCCGTCGCATCTACGTGAAGTGTGGAGAGTGAGCCTTTGACGACGTAGCAGTGTTTGAGTACGCCGTTAAAGGTGCATCTAAGGCCAAGGTACTACCTGTCGTCACAGCGATAGACAAAGTCCCTGGGACGGACGACACGGACTACGTCAATACCGCAACGTATGCGAAGGACGGGGAAGCGAAGGGAGAGGCAACAGTGTACCCAAGGACGTGCTGACGTGCAGCTCGACTGAGTAGAGATACGGTAAGGGTGGCATTGGAGGTGAGGTGAGTTTGGTCAGTCGTGAAATTTACCTGAAAACCCCGCGTTGACTTAATAGATTTGGCCTTAAATTTCTTATTGCTACTTGGGTCGACTTGGATTACTACTTTTTGCCCCGCACGTCTAGAGCTCGCTACCGTTGGTCAGCGCAAGCGTCCCGTTCCAGGGGCGACTTGCGACAGCACTCGACTTGAGGGTTATCTTAGCGCGTAGCCAGTGTAAACACCTCGACCCGCTCCCCGTCCAAACAGATCGTCGAGTCTCCTCGACGTACCGCATCTCCGATAACGAGATGGACATAGCAGAACTTGATCGAACCAGGCAGCAAGGCTCGGGAGCAGGAAGTTACCACGGAAAATTGGACATTGAATCCTTCGGTGCTTCCAGCCGATCGCTCGGCAGTTGCGGAATTCGTCATGCAGAGACAATCCATGTCAAGGTTCGTCCGCTACGCACTGCAGAACGCAGTAGACAAGCAAAAGGAACAAGCCGATAAGAACGGTCGAAAGGGCGTGAATGTATTCAAGATAGGAGACCGCATTCTCATATCAACCGAGGGAATCTGCGCTTCTGCCGTAACCAACCTGGGCGCCAACAAGCTTGCTCCACGCTTCATTGGTCCCTTCCGAGTAACCAAGGTTGTGGGTGACGCTTCCTCTTGGGACATCCCGTCGTCACTTAGACTCCACCCGACCTTTTACGTCGAGCGACTCAAGTGGTATTTCCCTGCGACGATTCCTGAGCCAAGCCAGCAGACGAAGCATGCGTCGGGCGACCAACCCGACGAGCCTACGCGCCATAGACCCGTCAGTCCACCAGGCACGATCTTCCGCCCGCTCAGCTCCAATCTGAGCGTCCAGTGCACGGTTCGGAGTAGTCTCCACCTCTCCCTGGACGTACAGGGCGTACGTCGTATCACCGTGAAGGCCCACCACCGATAATTGACTCGGTGGGTGACGCGCGCTGGATTGTGGAGCGTATCGTTGGCCACGAAGATTCCCATAACGCGGCTGCTCAACGTAGCGTCCGTAGTCGAATTCTTCGCGCGGCCCCGACCGCGCGCCACTATCTGGTACGTTGACTCGCCTATCCTCCGCGGCATAATACGTGGGAGCTCCGAGCCAACCTTTTCCTCCGGACGTGGTCCACGAGTATGAAACCAAGTTGCTTGAGAGGAAGAATTCCGCGGGTCACCCCGCGGAGACCGTGAACGTCCACGCGAACGAGGAGGCGACAACGACGCTGTGCTCCGACGCGTGCTACGTCGGCGCGAGCCGTCGCGAACACTGACACAACTTGTCAGTGCAATAATGAAAACACGAAGCCACCGGCGACATCGAACCGGTGACCAGTGGGTTGCCAATCCGACACGCTACGACTGCGCCGTAATGACTTCGATTTACCAGCGGCGACACGGTGGTTGCAGCAGAGCTGCCGGAGCTTTAGCGTCAGAGGAAGACGTTCGACTCCAAGAGTCACAAATACTAAGTTCCTTATCGGAAGGACACTTACAGCCCACGGCCAGGGCTCAAAGTTAATACCTCCACTTTATGCTTCTGTTGTTTTACTATACGTACGGCCAAACCGCCTAGGTGTAAATGTATCTGTTTAACTATCTAGCATAGTTAAACCTAATCAAATGCATAACGTGTGGCTTTCAGCCAACGTACTGAGAGACCTTACTATGTCTCCAATTTTTGTAATGAGAGTTTGTTAACTGCCCGGATACTCCGTACCCTTGTGTGTTCCACACCATGTAACCCCGTTACACTCTCCTCCACTAAGATAAGAACATTCCGTTCTCGAAACTTCCTCAGTGAGGACACGTCTTCTCAAGACGGCGGAGGCTACTAGACCTCACACCAGCGTTGTACAGCTCCGCGAGCTCACAAACGCCGACGCATCGTTGATGTCCAGCTTCACGTCGTCGGCCTACGGCCCAATGCTCCAAGCACACCGCGCATCTTGTTCGCAAGCGGTATCAGACCTATGCTCGCGCTCCGCGACCACTCCAAGAGCTGCAAACCACTCGGAGCTAGGCTCTCTTGAATCGTCCGAGTCGTCGACAACAGCTCAGCGGTTGAACACTCGCTTCACAAGCGATAGGTCGGTGGGTCGATCCCACCAGGGCGTCGCCCTCTCGTTCCATGGAATGTTGTCCTAGAATGGACAAGCTTAAAGGCAACACGCTTTTAGCTCAGTGGTCAAGCGTTGGCTTTGGAAGCCACAGATCGGTGGTTCGAACCCACTAGGGCCCCGCCCACTCGCCTTATGAGCTGTTTCCTGGAATGTACAAGCTGAAGGGCAACACCCTTTTAGCTCAGTGGTTGAGCGTTGGCTTTGGAAGCCACAGGTCTGTGGTTCGATTCCACCAGGGCGCAGCCCTCTCATACCATGAGTAGTCTGAACTCGGAAACCCTACGGGCATCACCCTTATGGCTTAATGGTAGAGCTCCGGCCTGGAAAGCCAAAGGCCAGTGGTTCGATCCCCGTCCGGGACACACCCTTTTTGCTGTTGTAGCGCATCCACATTTGGATCATGCTCATCGAGCAAGTTGTTTCAAAACAACAATGCGTCTATTGGGACGCTTGTGCCTGAACTTTGTTCAGCACAACACGAAGCATCGGCTTCCTTCAGGACCACGTCCCCAACACCACGATGTCTCTCCACCTCCTGCTCCCGCTGCGAGCACCGCTCATACGTACGGGCTGGCTGCTATAGCCACTGGTCAGAGCCTGAGCTCAATTACTGACCTGTTCGCCCCCCACTCTAGTGGGAGGCGCCCAGCGCCTGGTGACGCTGTCGCACGCCATGGTGGCGCTTCGACACAGGATGTGCTCGGTCGTAAGCGTCCACGACGTCAGGGCAATCTTGCCGGAGGATAATCTCAAACTCCCATGCGTTCAGTGAGTGAGGGTAACCCCTCCACTTCACAAAGAACTGGGTACGACCCTGGTGTCTACGCCGCGCCACAAGGCGTTCCACGTGATAGTGGAGCTCACCATGCTCATCGAGCAGAGCGGGCGGAGGCCTTGCCTCAGCATTGGTCCTCGCGAGGAGAGCCAGCACTGCCCGAACCGGTGTCTGCGTCCATACGACGCCGACGTCCACGACGCGAACGTTCACGCTCACCGCCCATCGGTCGATATCGAAGAGATGATCCACCTTGTGGATAGGTTGCAGTCACCACAGTTGACTCACAACCATGTTTCGAACCTTGACCGCCCAGTCGCTCGGCTGAACGTTCAGCTTACCTTGCTCCTGCATCTCGAGCACTTCGCTCCGCGACCAGTGGCTCTGCCACTTGCTGTTGATCAGTCTGCTGTGGGTCCACCACTTGCTATCGTCCAGCCTTCCGTGGCTCTACCAACTGCTGCTCTGCAGCTGTCCGTGGCTCAGCCACCGCTGGCGCCAACGTGTCCGCGCTCATCTGAGCAGGTCCTGATACGGCTTGAGCAAGCCAACGTAGAAGTCCGGATGCGTGCGCATCTTCTTCGGAAGGTTAAGCGCATACGCTAGGCCCTTCCTGGTCACGACCTTGAATGGTCCTATGAACCGAGGTCTTAATTTCGTCTTGAAGACTGCAGACACTGCATGAGTAGTTAGATTTTTAGCCTTTAATAAAACTTGGTCTCCGACCTCAAACCTTTCTTCATTGGGTCTGTCATTGGCATCTGCATGTTCCTTCTGGGTGCCCTGGCTTTCTGCCATAGCGTCGCGAACCTGGCGCATTACGCTCATTCTGAAAGAGACAAAGTCATTGACTTGCTTGCGAACCGCAGCAGGGCTGACATCAGCTAGCCGCTCGGCTATCCCTCCCCCATCAAGCCCTGAGCCACTGCGTGGTGATGTCAGTGGGACGCGAGGGTTCACCAAGCCGTTCACATAGAACAGAGTGTAGCCTGTCGAGGCGTGCACTGCATTGTTAATGCGAACTTAACGAGTGGGAGCATCTGGCGCCAGCGTTTTGGCGCCTCAGTGCATACGCTTCGGAGGATATCCTCCACAACGCGATTCACGCGTTCAGTTTGACTGCCGGTCTACGGATAGTCCGCTGTGGACATGTCCAAACGAGTGTCGAGCACTACGTCTAGAACGTCGCGGTGAAGCGCGGGTCTCGATCCGAGACAATCGTCTCAGGCAAGCCATGTTGTCGAAAGACTCGGTCTATAAACAGCAAATATGTACCTTCACCATCAATGGTGTCTGACACCGCCGCTAAATGAGCCATCTTGCTCAATCGGTTTACAAAGACCACAATACCCGTGTTTCCCGCCTGATCCTTGGGAAGGCCAATCACAAAGTACATACTCATGGACTGTCAACATCCCTTGGGGACAGGCATACTCGCCAACGGCGCTGCCGTGCTCGGCGCGGATTTTGTCCGTTGGCACGTCTCACACGTGCGTACATAGGTTCTGACCCACTTATACATCTTTGTGGTGAAGTGCTTTCTCAGAAATAAGAGAATGGGCCTGACGCGGGGTCACTATCCCGAATCAGTGACAATTTCAAGTGATTAGAGAGGATTTGGGTTGGCTGGCACGGATGCAAGTTGCCTGTGGTGGATTAGCCATGACGAGCAGCACCCCGTATGAAATGACGATGGATCTGGTATGAACGAAGTACGAGAAGGCATGATCCACCAAGACTTACCTCGGATCCACCCTTACCTGGATTTCACCCAAGATGGATATGGGATATACTATACAAGAGTGGATCGGGTGTGGATCCTATGAAGGAAGGATGGTCGGTGCCCTCTGAAGGTGGATCTAGTAGCCACGGCTAACGAGGAGTCAAGATCCACCGCGAGGTACCCCGGATCCCATACTTCCGAGTTCGGATCCATGGAGGGAGGATCCCGCCTTGAGGGACCTGGATCCAGGGTATAGGGATGATGGATGCAGTGGATCTCGAACTTTCGTGGGACAATGGAGATCACAGACGGTTGCAAGATGATGTTGGATGATTGGAGAGCTCGGATCCACGGCGAGTGTACAATTACAGTGAGGTGGATCCAAGCGACCTGGATCCGGATGAGTGTACCCATAATAGGGTGACCATGATGATTACGTCATGGATCCGGTGGATCTGAAGATAACACAGCTGGGATGATGGGTCCAAGGGTAGAAGGGACATGCAGCCGAGCCTGGTAAGGGATTCAGCAGATGAAAGACATAGAAGGTAGAAATCCAGGCAGGTATAGGCTTAAATATCAATACAGACCTCAATTTGCACAGTAACACGCAAGTGCCTTCCTGCCCTCAAGAACCGGAACTACATTGGCCGTACGAGCTAGGAGAAAGTTGGGAATTGCGAATCTAGTGTTGGTAGTGATAACTGGATAATACATTGGCCAGATCCTACAACCTAGTGAGCTTTTCCTTTACTTGTGCAGATCCGACAGGTTAACCGAATTTACTACTTGGTCGGTTACACCCTAGAGGTTCTCAACTCTCAAGATCCCGTCACAGGAGGCGGCAAGTACGACGCAAAGGAAACTACAAAGGCAAGGGAACACACCCGCAAGGCAACCCTACGGCCAGATCCACGATCTAGGCCCCGGATCCATAAGCTCAAATATTCGCTTAGGATTCGGAACAATCCACGGACGCAGAGTGAAGATTTTCCACTGCTGCTCCACCCCATCCCCACGTCTCGCCAAGACACTCAAGCTTCACCACTTGAGCTCTTCGGAAGTTACCGAGAGAGCAAGATCCCGCCCTACCGACGGGTACACAAGGTGAGGAAAGTTCAGCAGAACACGGATCATCGGGGGACCCCCTCCGTTAGTCGGTGTCTGGGCGCAGTTGGTAAGTTGGATCTGGCAATCTCGCAGATTTTGCTGATCCCGCTACATCACAATGGTGCGCGTGCCCGGATCTTTTGGTGACTCGGGATTTCACCGTGAGTCCCAAGAAGATGCTCAAGTGAAGATTGAGCCAGGGGAAGAGGCGTCGTCGGAAGTCGGATCGACGAAGACGCTGCTGAATGAAACAAGATCCGCGGACCGATGGAGTTTTGGGAGGAACTCTGTCGACGGAAGAGAGGTGGATCCGGATCCGGATCTCGAAGAAAAACCTCTCTATCCTCCCCAGGTCCCCTCGGGGACCCCTGCGGAACTTGACGCAAGTCAAGATCCGCTAACCAAACAAGGAAACGTGAAGGCGAAACGGTATGCATTTGCAGATTTACCGGTTAAGCCAACACTGTACCTAAACCCAACCCCGCTAGTCGAAGAAACGAGAAAGAAGACGAAAACGAGTAAGACTACGCGGAAGAAGATGCAAGCTCCAGAGTCGGAAGAAGACCAAGCTGGATCAAGGTAAGCGTTTGCGGAACGTTTTTTTTTTAATTAAGCGCTTTGCAATTTGGAGAAAAAAG